AGCCTAGACCTTCTGTGGTCTATCCCCTCAGTCAGTTCACATGTTGCTAGTAAGGCCTGTGTGGCTGTTTGCCTGCTACTTTATGTTTATATCTACCACATTTAAAACAGTACACATCAGGTTTGTGTAACCATTGATTTTGTTGGCCTTTGTCCAAGTCTTATGATGATTTCTTAATGTCTTTCTATAAATTCTGTTTTGTTCTGCTATGAAACTTCCATTTTGAAAATCACAAACCTCTAGTTGAAAAGTTCATGTAAAGTCCACATTGTACAGAAGCACATATCTTTAGTGTCTCCAGACAAAAGAAAAGTCTTAAAGTTTAATTTAATGTTTGCACTTTTGGGCACAACTTGAAAGAGGGCCTGAAGAAAAAGTTGGAGTGAACCATTGAACCATTAAATATTTTTAGCAAAATGTGTTTGCCTTCTGCAGGACATATGCCCTTTAATTTTGTAAATATTCTTTTAAAGTAGAGATGATTTGTGGTTGTAACCGAAATAATACTTAATCATAAAATTTTTTAAAATCCTGTAATTTTTTTCCATATCTATTGAAAGTTGTTTACCAACTATTTTTGTAAGAAGTGTAACTTTTTCCCTTCTCTTCCCAACCTCTCTTGCAAAGATAGAAGTGAATTTCTGCTGTTGGATTCAGCAGCTATCTAATACTTTATATGCCTGTTGAGCTATGTGATATAATAGCTGCATGTTTAATAATGTGTTTTGCTGTATAACCCATAAAATGATGATTTATGTCGATGTCAGTTCATCTGTATACCTGTACTACTTGGAAAGTGTTTATTCGTGATTGTAGTCCTGTGGATGAAATAATTTGTCAGTGTTCTCCAACTTGTAAAACTTACTACAAGAGTTTAAGCTCCTCAGGAAATAATGAAATAGGAAAAAGAGTTAAGGATCACTACTAAGTATATGGAAATATAATGTAGAACTTCTAAAACACAAGATGGAAGACATTGAATTTTAAAACTTGATTTGAAAAAAAAGATGGGAAAAAGAAAAAAGGTAAAGGAGGATAAAATATAATAAAAATTAAGTGGGTAGCAGTAATTCCAAAAATATCAGGAATTGTTGAGAGCCGCAGCCGAAGGGGCCCCAGCAAACTTCCAGCTGCCAGCTGATGATTGGCTCACAGCCGCCCCAGCAACTTCTAGCTGCAAACTGATTGGCTCCTCTGTGGTGATGCTCATTGGGCTGTTTCCTTGCCCTTTCAGACCACGGAGCTGCTCATTGGGGGACTTTTTTGGCTCTGCCCACACGAAGGGGGGGGGGAGGCTTATGGGAAGCCAGTGGTGGCAGTTGGGCTCTGAAGGTTTTTCCTGAGGAGCTGTTTTGTTTCGAATGTGTGGTTCTAAAAATAAAGTTCGTTTCTTTTGACAAGTGGCTCCCACTCCTGCTGTATCAATGTACACAAATTGCTCATCACTCCCTGGTTATTTTTGCTGCAGCTGGACTGCGGCAAGGAATCACAAAATGTAAAAGGACTAAACTTTCTTCTTAGAAGACAGGGATTATATAAAAATTAAGGCAAACTACACAATATTTACGAAAGAAACACCTTAAATTTAAGGATATAAGACAATAAAAGTAGGTAGTTGACATAAGGTATGCCAGGCAAATACTAAGTAAAAGAAAGCAGAGGTCATTACATTAATAGGAAATAAAATCCCAAACTTTGGGCTGAGAATATAGCTCAATTGGTAGAGTGCTTATCTTGAATGCCGAAGGCCCTGGGTTCAATCCCCAGCACCCAAACAAACAAAACCCCCAAACTTTAGACAGTTTTATTAAAGAAAAAAAAATCACAATGTAAGGATTAAAAGTTTAATTTACCAGGAAGGTATAACATTGTTAAACTGTTAGGCCTTTAATTACACAGATTTGCAATATATAAAACAAAAATTGATAGTCTAACAAGGAAAGATTGAAAAAATGTACATCACAATAGGATATTGAGGACAGTAATCATTCTAACAATCTGATAAGCCACAATTAGAGTTTCAGATAAAACTTCTAATTAGGATAAAATGTAGATTCCCAAAAGTGTCAACCCACACTACTTACATGGATTTAGCAAGTGGTTCTTACAAAGTCCTTATATAGTTTGTCATTTTATAATGTCCTTTTCCTGTAAACAAATTTCTCTTTGCCAGGAAGAAACATTTTAAACCAAACTATTGGAGCTGGAGATTTAGCTTAGTGACAGAAAACTTGCCTAGGATGCAGCAGGCCCTGGGTTCAATCCCCAGGACCACAAAAACAAACAAAAATAAAATAAATCAATCTGTTGATCTATTTGTAAATAAATAAACAGCCATCACAGTAACCAAACATTGAACCCATTTGAATCCTCTATACATGAAGATTCAGAGCAGTTCCTTAGACTGGATCTGTAAGGTACTGTCTTTCTTTGCTTTTTTTCTGTTTTGAAACCTATATTCATTACCTCCTTTCCTTTTTTTTCAATCCTGACCACCTCCCCCCATAATAATTTCAACTCCATACTAATGAGTTTCATGAGGAGAATTGTGTTGGTCATTGAGGAAAGATGTTTCTTTACTAATTGTGTGCTAATAGCTTGGAGGCTTTCCAAAAAAAAAAAAAAAAAAAGCCCTCTCAACCTCTCAACAGAAGCAACTTTCTCTCACCCGCTCTTAGCTGTCTCTGAGGATCAAAGCACATATGCACTGTGTTGCACAAACTCAGGGTCCATGGCTGAATGCCCTTAGAGAAGCTGGATTGTAACTGAGCAATCCATTACCATCTCTGACTCCTCCTTACTTTATACCACTAGAAAATGGGGACAGTTACCTTGTGGACCATAATAAACATGAGATTGTGAAAAATGCCTGGAAAAGTTCCTGAGTAGCTATTATTAGGAATACTCTTCTTATCAGTATTATGTTAATCATAAGTATTTGATTGCTTCCAGCAGAAAAATAGAGACTCCCTGGAAACCAAGGCAGGACTGGGCTGAGTTTTGCTGCCTCTGGTTTGAAAGCTTATAAAAGACTTCACTTCTGTCCTTTCTTTTTTTTTCCTTTCGATAATCTTGAGACACATATTTTCTATCTACTGTTGTTTTAAAGGTCATCTTGAATTGATTCTGCCCCATATCATTTCAGCATATCCCCTTTGTTAACCTGTAATATCATGACGGCTGGTATTTGACAGGGGCACTTGTTTTCATACTTTTATATTCAATGCAAGAAAATATAAACTCTTGAAGGATAGGTAATTTTTAGTAACTAGAGATTTTAATAGCAGTACTATTTTAATTCTCCTAGTTATTTGGTATTAATTTCCTATAACTATATCCAGATGTGTATGCAGTATGTAGATCCTATGAACAAAATGCTGGCAACCATTTGGTAAATTGTCTCTGAAATTTTTTTTCTCTGGACTTAGTTTTATTCATTCTGAAAGTAGCAACCCTTTGCTTAGAGTAGAAACATTTTAAATCATTGGTACTGTGATACCTAATGTCACTGATACTAGAGTAAATGTCAGTTTGAGTAAAAGATACTCTGAGAACCAGTGTGAATTCAGCAGGTAATTTAAGTTGTTTTCCTGGCCAGTCATAACTTGAAATACAGAAAAATTACATGATCCTTATGTCTTATTTGGTAGATTTTCTGCTTTGGTCTGATTTCTTTTTTTGCTTGTGTTTTCAGGCTCAGCTATGTGAATCATGCAGAAGATCTGGCCTCTAAGCTCCTACAGTGTTCCCCAAAGAACAGACTATCAGCACAGGCTGCCTTGAGCCATGAGTATTTTAGTGACCTTCCCCCACGGCTATGGGAACTGACTGATAGTGAGTATGACACATCTGCATATCCAATCAAAGTACTTTATTATCTATAGAGAACATACATGTAAAGAGATTCATTTGCTTATGTGTGCACAAACACAAGATCATGGATATATGTGTTTGCATTTTGTGTGTGGGGGTGGGTAGGTGGGGAGGAGGGAGAGAGAGAGAAGGAGCACGTGAGTGCACAAGAGCAGGGACGGGGGACACGTGTATATATATTTAGTGGAATCCTGCCATTCAATTTCTAGCTTACCAGACACAGGAAGAAAATGGATTCCTTCTTTGCTATCTCTGCTCTGCAGTCTGCAGCTGTGCATCTTTGTATTTGATTATGTGTGTGTCCAAAAAATGATCTGAGCAGTCATAAAGGAAAAAGGAAAATATGATTTACATATTTAGTGCTTTATGCATACAGTACTATTTTAACTGGCTGCAGTACACAGCGGAGAAATGATTCATTTCTGTTTAATTCTCAGAAACCATCTTGGTTGTAACAATAACCTTAAAAAGGACTGCTATTCAGTGAGCTGAGGAACAGAGTTGGCAATTGGCTAATGCACTGAATTGACATGTAAAGACTGAAGACATGTAATTCATTTTAACTGCACATGCTCTTGGTATTTGTACAGACAGCTCTTCTCTAGATCTTTTAAAACAAAACACATTCCTGGGTGGGTTTGTGTTTTGTTTTTACAAAAGTATTCTTTCTTACACAGGCTTTTTCAATTACATTTAAAATATTTGGGGGAGGATTTATGGCTGGGAGGATCTCAGCTTTCTTCCCAAGTGTGAAACAGAATTCTTGTGAAATTTTGCAGAACACTGTTGCAGTAGGAATATTTTTGTTCAATGGTGATGCATTCTTTTTAAATGCCCATTATATTTTTTTCTCATACTCTTCTGATTGCCTTAAAATAACATACTGCCTATATGCACAAATATTTGTGATATGTGTATTAATCCTTGTGTATACAACATTTACAGTAGACACAAAGTTAATTTCCTTTGTCTCTTGAATTTTAGTTTTTTCCCCTCCTCTTTGCAGCACTGGTTTCTCCTTTACAGTAGCCCTTTACTTTATAACTAAACCCCAAGTAACAACTCCTGTTGAGTATTCCTACCCTAAATCATTTTGCTATCCCACACTTACTTCCAACAACTTTTTTACCTGAAAGTGACTATAGGTATATTAATCTACTACTCCCCTTGTGCTTAGCAAATTCTCATTAACATTTCATATAGTCCCTGTCCATATTTACTCTATATTCTGCTCTACTTCCTTTCTAAAAATCTACCCACTGGCCATCATTATAACAGTTATTCCCCCAAATAAAAAAAGAAAACATGAAATTTCTATGGAAAATAATGATTTTGTGACACATCTTACTATACTGAGGAAAAAAAAAACAGACGTATATAGGCTCATTCATTTACTGCTCGCCACACTCAAGCATATGGCTTGTTTTCCCTCTTTAGTGGAACTTGTAACTTGATATCACTCCTCCTTTGTGACATCTCAATCCCATCTGACTTGATGATTGAGTTTAAGCCAGGATTTTGATGGACTATGAATTCTGAATTCTGTAGTAGTACTTTTCTGCTAATATGGACTTATTACCCACTTGCCACTTAGTTTATCAGCCAGTGGTTAAATCCAGTTTCTATCAGTGAGTAAATGCCTACACATTATCACTCCACAGCAGACTGCCAGCGGAGACAGCCTTGTCCCCATCATTAACAAGCACAATGTATGCAGAACACCAGAGGGGAATTAAAACCACAAAAAATACCTCAGGGTGGTATTTTTAATATGAGAATTTAATTTGTAATTTCACAGATTAAGAATTTTGGCTGCATTAATCCCTTTATCAGCTCACAGCAGGCTATTTGCAGAAGCATAACCATAAGGCGATATTCATTGGCAGAAACACGTCTTTGCATAACGTTAAACATCAGGAGCAGTGAAACCTTTTGAAGGGGGGAGAATAAAGATGAAAAATCATTATATTTTTAAGGCAAGATTCTACTAAATGCCTCCGGTAACAATTTTGAGTTACAGAAATGCTATTTCTGTGTCTAGAAGATAATCATTATGAAGCATAAATCCAGTCGCAAGCAAGGACAATCCCAGTGTTAAATACTACAGTCATTTCCATTTAGAACAACTCCTCTGTACTTGTAAACATGTTTACAAAACAAAGAATTCCCCGGTTCAGAGACTTTGAGCATTATTCCTTTAAGTGAAATGACTGGTTTTGGTGACTCTCTTGTCTGGGTTAATATTCTGCAGACTACGTTTAGAAATTCTTAAAATTAAGTTTCGTGTTACTGTAGTCTTATGAAAGTTCTCCATCTGACTCCATGGCAGCCTCAGTAGCAGCAGCTGAGAGCCCTCAAGTGCTTCTCTTCCAAGGGGAGTTGGAAGAAGGTCCACTTGGGAGGAAGAAGTGTTGCAGAATCAATAAATGGATTGTCTTAGCAACCAAGTCATTGTTCAGACTCACCAATTCCAGGAACCTAGCTGTCCTCATCAGCTCAGACTGCTATGACAAAATACCAAGAGTGGGTGGCTTAAACAATAGGCACTTATTACTCACAGCTCTGGGGACGGGAAGTTCAAGATGAAGGTGCCCACAGAATGATTCCTGCTGAGGTCTCTCCCTCTGTCTGGCAGAGGGCCTGCTTGCTGTGTCCTCACAGGGTAGATAGAACACTTCTCTCTTCCTCTTCTGACAAAGCTGCTAATCCCATCACGAGTGACCCACCCTCTTGCCCTCCTCTAATCCTAACCACCTCTGTAGGCCCCATCTCCAAATAACATCACGTTGAGGTTTAGGGCATCAATTCCAACAGGTAGTACAACCAGGTTGTAGAAGACTGTAGGCATGGTGACACATGCCTGTAATCCCAGCCACTCAGGAGGCTGGGGCAGGACAATCCAAATTAGCAAGACAATCCAAGTCTCAGCAAATTAGCAAGGTTCTAAACAGAGTATGAGACCCTGTGTCAAAATATGAAGGACTAGAGATGTAGTTCAGTGGTTAAGTGCCCTTGGGTTTAATCACCACTATCATACTAATCATACTAATCATAATAATCATGATAATTTTAAAAAGAAGGCTGGGAACAAAAATATTAGTGCCCCCTAGCCTTCTTGGTGTGCTCTGATCTGTCAGACCCTTGAGAAGAGCTTCAGGGTTATTGTAGCCTAGGTACTGCAGGGAACGGCAGCTGTTCTATAGAATTGTATAAAGAAAAAAAGTGTTATGCTTATGCTAGACTCTTATTTGCTTTGGAAGAAAACAATAATGTAATATTTTTGATATTTGACTATTCCTTAAAACCTCATCAAGTTACTGATGTGAATGGAACTCTCAGGTTTCTTTATCAACTTAGAGGCCCACGTAGAAGAGTACCCACAGAGGTCTACCTGCATGGGTCATTTCACAGAGGCTTTACCCTCAGGAGCCAAATCTCAGAAATGGCTGCAGTTATATAAACACAATGTGAAAGTTTACAAGTTCTAGTACTTATAGGTCCTGAGGGGTGCACTGCATGCCTGTAGTACAGAAGTCAGGGAGCACAGTCACCAAGAGGAGGGACACTGAAGTCAATACCTTTGGGTAGTCCAGGGTTTTCTTCCAAACAGATTTCCCTTGGGGAGTTTTAACTGGCAGATTTAAAGCAAACAGACAAGAATTTCTTTTGTCTTACTGTGACTGGCAGTGGCTACTACATATGTCCCCACAGTCCATGCAGGGTGGGAGGGTCATGGGGCCAGTCCCGCAGGCCATGCCTGGATGTCCCCTAGGGAAGTAGTCATCAGGGAGCAGCTATATAGGACAGGTGCCTGGATGGACCAGATTGAGGAACTAGAGTGGGGGATGTGTAAGAACTGGAAATTGTGTCAGGACGACTGAGCCCTGCTTTTCGTATGAGAAAATTCAGCTTATGTTCAAAATGGATACTGAAGCACATTAAAACTGAGCATTCATTGCAGTTGCACAACACCAAAATTTAGAAGTAATGTATTGGTGGAATTATAAATGTATCAAGCAAGAATAAATGATATAGTTACCTGGGGTCTGGCAGTTCAAACTGGCTAATTCCACTGGCACCCTATCATTCTCCCTCTGTCCTAAAACCCCAACAGCCTTGCCCCACTTCTTCACAAAGATTTAATTGCAGGAAAGTAAATGGAGGGCTGATTTAGAAGAAATTCATTACTTTTCCCAAATACACCACAGGGCATTCTCCTGTGTATACTATCAAGTTACATAAATAATTGAGGCTGAACTACCCTTGTCAAAGTAAATGAACAAAATACACTTCATAGCACAGAGTCCTTGATTTTATTACATTCATTTGCTAATTCACAAAACTCAAATTCAGTAAAAGAAGGCCAACAAATTGGTACAGTCTAAAGAAAACTGAGCTGGGAATCAGACCACCTGGCTTCTCGCTTCAGCTCCAATGTTACCTAGTAGGGCAACCCTGGACAGGTGCCTCAGACTCCCTGGACTTCAGATTTCTCATTTACAGATGGACCTTTCCAGATCTGTAGTTTTTCCTGCATCGTCTTACATATTATGCTAAAACAACAAGATGCCACTATGTGACTCCGTGCCATTATTTCAAAAATAAAAAAAGCACACCCATTTCAAATATATCTACATCCTCTAGGACAAACTTCTATTCTGTCCTGAGTCCTTGCAACCAGGCCCTTAAGTCCACAACTCCTGAACTTCTGTTTTCAAAGTTTCTGATGTCTTTTCCCAGGCTTCATCATTTTATTTATATATAATATATATATATTTGTAGATGAACACAATACCTTTATTTTGTTTATTTATACATATATATATATATATATATATATTTGTAGATGAACACAATACCTTTATTTTGTTTATTTAGTTTTTTTTTTTTTAATGTGGTGCTGGGCATCGCACTCAGTGCCTCATGCATGCTAGGCAGGCACTTTAATACTGAGCCACAACCCCAGCCCCCCAGCCTTCATCTTGATCAGCAGAATTTAACATGGTTGGCCACCTCCTCCTCATGGCACTGCCTTCTCTTGGCTTCCTCTTAAACTCTCTTGTTCATACTGGTTTCTCTTCTGCTAGACCTCTCATTGTTCCAGTGTCCTGAGGCTTAATCCTCAGGTCTTTCTATCTGCATGCACTTCTTGGAGCCCTGATGATCTTATCCAATCTCAAGATTTAAATATCATCATCGAAACATGGTTCTATCTCCAGCTCTACCTCCTCTGACTCCAGACTTTCGTACCCAAGTGACTGCGTTACCCAGTGTACCCAAGTGACTTGCGTACCCAGTGTCTCCACTAGTATCATCAAAACTGAACTCCTAATCTTCTCCCCAAACTTACTCCTTGTGAATAAATGGCAATGCCTTTTCTCACACTTTATATCCAATTCATCCGCCAACACTGTTGGTCGTACCTTCAAGATATACCCAGGATCATACCAGTCCTCACCTCACTGCGATCACCCTGTCCCAAGCCACTTATCGTCCTTTGTTGACCTTTTGTCACAGTAGCCTCCTAACTGGTCTGCCTCTCTTCTGGCCTCCTCTTTTTGATGTTTGTACTTTCTCTTCCTCTAGAGGAAGGTCCAGGTCTTGCCCTCTCTCCTCCTTTTCATCCCTGTTCAAGTGTCCTGTATCAGGAAAGCCTTTGCTGACGTCCTTCGACCCTCAAACTTCCAATGTCTCGTCCCTGTTCTGTTTTCCTCCCTAACACGTATCACTATTTATCATATTTATTTGGTTGTTTTCTGTCTGTCTCCTATGGCCAGAACCTGTAAGAACAAGAATTTCCTTTCATTCTGATTTGTGGGACTCAGTAAATACTTCTCCATTGAGTGAAGTGAAAGAATGGCATAAAGAAAGGGCAAAATATGTTGTTTCCAGATCCAAGTTAATTGTTCTAGATCTGAGATCTGTGGGAGACCTGAGCTGTGGTTCTGAGGGGAAGGCAGACTCTCCCATCCTGTGTGTGTGTGCGCATGTGCGCACGTGCCTGTGACCACTTGACATTTCAACGATAAGACACTGTGGCAATCTATGTGCTGCACATGAAGATTGACATCTCAGTTTCTACTTTTTTTTTTTAAAAAAAAGATCATTAGCATACTTATAAGTGAAAACTTTTCATTCTGTCCTCAGTGTCTTCTATTTTTACTGTCTCAAATGTGAGATTGCAACCAGAAGCTGGAGAGAGCATGCGGGCCTTTGGGAAAAACAATAGTTATGGCAAAAGTCTATCAAACAGCAAGCACTGATGAGCACAGCCCTCTCGAGAGAGCAGGTAAGATGACCTACTTTTACTTGGAAGGTAATATTTAATAGATATTGAATGGATCCTTTGAATGAAATATTTCAGACTCATTTTTTTTCCCTGAAACTATCTTACGAGTCCCTTGGGTTTATTATGGCATTTATCAGACATTCTACTGAGGCAGAGTGAATTCAGTCATTTCCATATTTCCAGACACCTACTAGAAATTCCCTATTTTCAGGTACATACTAGAGTCTAATAACCAAAATTATATTTTGCCTTGCACTTTAGTTATGTAGTCCTAAGTGAACTGTTTGATTCTTGAGCAGATCATCTTCTCTGCTCACACAATCTTCATTGAGGTCATAAAAAGGTTTGCTCTGAGTTGTATCTAAGCCACAAACCTTCTTTGTTTGGTCCACACACTCTGAATTGGTTGCTCACATTTAAAAATTAGGAGATTTTACACAAAGACTCGATAGATTTCTAGCTTTCCTGGAAAAATCGGCAATTCTGGCAATACTGCACTCCTATTCCTGCCAGATTTCGTGTGTGACCCAATCATGGCTGACTCCTATGGAGAGGATGTAAGCTCCCCTGATGAGCTTAAGTACCATCTGAGCCTCTTTACCCATTTCTGATTTCTCTCTGGCTCCTGGCAGAGACTTTATCATGATGAAGTTTCTCCTTTGCACTATTTCAATTTTTGACCTGTACTATTTTGCAGACAGGAAGCATAATATAAACATGGTGAAGTCTAGGTGATATACCCTGTCCCAGTCATCATATGTGCTATATAGCGACAAACAGGAGATGACAACTTCTGGAAAGACTTTTCTTGATTGCCAGATGGAAATATATGGGGTTTATGTTTGTTTGTTTTTAATTGGGGAGGGGGGTTGGTTTTCTTTGTTTCTGTTTTTGGAATTCTGTGTGTGTATGTGTGTGTGTGTGTGTACACACATGTGTATTTTCCCTTTTAATGTAATATCATACTCTAAAGCAAATAAATAAGTAACTTGCCCTTGTAGGCAAAACGTTTTATACTGATTCAAAGTTCAATAATTGTTCAAGTGAATTGGAGATGTATACAGTATTACAGGAGGCATTCTTCCTTCCTCTTTTAATTTGAAATATGATAAGAGGCTAAATTGACAGCAAGCAAGGTAAAGGCAGTGAATTTAAGTATGCAGATTTTTCTTATGGGTGATCTACCAGTACTTTGAGCTTTTTTAAGACTTGCTTTTATGTGCCCTCAACATGGGGGCCAATGTAGGCCTCTCAGGGCTGTGTTGGTGGTGTATGAATGATTCAGAGGAAAGAGATCCCTAGATAAAATATGGTAAATGACAGTCAAAAGATGTTACTGTTAAACTTGAGTAAGACTTCTCCTTCTTCAGGCTGTTTCTCCTCATTGGATATAAAGTTATCTAGAAGCACAAGTAACTAGATAGAATTTGAGCTCTTACTCTGAACTTTGATTGACCCAAGAATCAGGCTGTTTTTGACCAGTTACGTCCTCATTCTAAGAATGTTTTGATTCATGAGGATTGTGGTATATGCTTTTTAAAAGTATTTAACCTGCATTATCATAATGAGTACCCCTGGCTTTATAAATCCCTTAGCCAATTTGGTGGAACAAAACAAAAAGTGGACATTATTTGTGCTCTGCCTCCCACACGCACACAAGCAACCCTGAATTTCAGTCACAGTGCCATGTCCTTTCTTGGCTCTTTTGAGATCTCCTGATCTTAGCCTGGCTGTCAAAGCTTCTAGGATGTGTTTCAGGTCACCTCATCCTTGTAAAAATCAAATCAAGCAAACTAGATAGAGCATTGCCCAGACAGTCTCAAAAATTGCTAATGTTTGAAAGGAGATTTTTAAAAGATGCTGAGAACTTCAGTCCTCAGTATTTGAAAGTCTTTACAAAAATGCATTTTCATGGCAATATGATTTTTAAACTAGATCTAAGGTTGTATCTGCACAGTGGAAGCTTTTTCTCTACAATTACTTGACAGCAATGCTAATTTTTTCTCCACAAGTTTTGTCTTTTCACACCAACTTTTAAAGCTTGGATATTATTTTTGTTCTAGCCAAATACCTCAGCTTGAGTCAACACAATGTGGAGGAAACATCTCAATTTTTCTCCTCTCAGAAAAGCTGCGGGAAAGCTGGATTCTAACAGTTTTCTGTCAGTCAACAGGAAAAGAAATCGTTTTAATTTCTCATCTTTGTGGGTTTTAAAATTTTAATCAAATAGGGCTGTCTTAGAGATCAAATAAGATAGCCAGTTTATTGGCCTCATACAGCATATGGAATGGCCTCACTCTGACCAGCAACTAGTTATTAAGTTATAGACGTTATAGAGCAAAATGTCTACCTAAATAAGGCATCCTTAGAGGAAAAATGTGTGATTCCCTCGGTTTTGATTTCTTTATTGTTGTTGAATTCATTTGCTGTTTAGAGCAGACTGTGGCATCTTAAATTTCCCTTGAATGTCCCAGTTCTTTGTAAAGCCCAGAGAGTTTGAGAAAAAGGAGGGGGAAGATATTGGGGGCTCAAAGAGGCTGAATGCAGACTAGCATTCTAACCATTCCTCTCAGGGGAGTTATAGGGAGGTACATGTGGCAGGCATTGCATCCCTCTGTCTTCCCAATGATGGAGGGTTAAGTAGGAAGGAATGTTTCAATCCTAATTTTTCTCCCATACCTTAGTGTCACATTGTTTTTTTCCTTGCAAACTGAGGTCACTTCAATTATTTCTTTAATAATGCTGGATTTACATAAATTGGCCTTAGTAGAAAAGCTAATGAAATGCATTTTGCTTTTCAGCAATTCGTTTTAAAAACTTATAGTGAAATTAAATAAAAAGAAAACCACAAGCTCCTAAGTTAAAAATGGGATAAGTGCCACTGTTCATCAAAATACTGTGCCACATTTTGTTATCCTCTAAAGACAGCTTGTTCCCACTCACCACCATTGAAAATAAGACCTTTCTAAAGTCTGAGAAAGTCTTAAACATGAATAGAATTTCCCTAAGGACAAGGCCAGAAGCTATGTTGCATATCACATCCATTAGTATCACTTGTATTTGAACAGAGTGATACCAGACATACCCCTCTCTTGAACTTAATTTTCCAGTCATTCTGAATTGATGTAGGAAGTGCTTGGTCATTGTCTCCTTCTTCTTTTACTGAATTCAAGGAATAAGAATGGCACTACTCTTTAGACATATGTTTTGTAATTTTCCTGAAACAGTAGGTACTCTTTTCAATCAAGCAATTGATCTTTAACCCCCATTAAATTCATAGTTAATCTATGAATATCTGTCTACTGTGTTAAAGAATTTGATTCAAGTGCAAGAGGTTCACTGTGTGCATACCTTGGTGACCCTCTCCCCTCCTTTTAGCATGTTTTCTTTGCTAGTCCAAAATTATTTAAGAATTGCTGAATGATGGAAAAATGGCTATAGAGAATCACTGCTTGACTCAGTCATTAAGCAATGATTTCTTAAAATTAGTCTGTCAAATAAAGAGAATAGAATACATTGATTGCTCAAGAAAATTTAATTAAATAAGGTAAAGGGATTTTTTAGGAACCAGATTCTAGACAGAGCTTGGGACACCAGACCCCTGAGGAGTTCTTCAAATCCAGTTCCTGGTGCCCATGAATCTGCATTCTAGGATCTCAAAGGGATGTTGATGCAGGTAGCATTAGATAATGAATTCCCCAGCACATAATGCAGGAATTGTATATTTATGCAATAAAATAATCACCTATTTTGGGTCAGGATAAAGACAAACTAGGAAAATAATCAGTGCTTTATCACATAAAATTAAGCAGTTCCTTGTTACTTCCTTCCCTCCTGCCCTTTCTGCCTTCTTTCTTTCCTCTCCCCACCCTCCTTCCCTCCTTCCTTTCTCCTCCTTCTTTCCCCCTCCTTCTTTCCTTCCTTCCTCTCTCCCTCTCTTTCCATCTTTCCTTCCTCCTTTCACTTCTTAAAGAACGGAGTTGTGTTGTCCAACATAGTAACCACTAGGAATATGTGCCTATTTAAATTTTAATTGATTTCAGTTAACTTAAAATAAAATATTCTTTCCTCAGTAGCAGTACCACACTTCAAGTGCTCGAACCTGCACATACAAGTCACCACTTTTAGGGCGATACACAACATTTCCAGGATCACAGGACAATGTTCTACTGGACAATGTTGGTGAAAAGCATTTCTCCCGCCTACGTTTTATAAAGTGGAATCAGGAAGAGAAAACTGAATTAAGTAAAAATGTGTTTCATTTCCAGATTAAGTTCCATTTTGTGTGAGGAGGAGAAAGATGAGCAAAGAGATAAGAGCCAAAGTGAGAGGGATAGAGATGCACAGCTGAGAGTGTCAGAGCGCTATGCAGACACACCAAGCCTAGTGCCCACGGGTGGGGACAGGAGAGACTGAGACAGAGCTGGTGTCAGAATCTTTCAGGAGAAGGTGACCAGGTCAGGCTTCCTCAGTTAGCAGTGGTCTGTGAAAAGAAAGATGGGTTGATAGTCTAAGTCGCCTGGCATGTCACTCGGAACCCAACAGTAGCTTTAAGTTTATCTGTCATCTCAACTCTGGAAACTGTTCCTGGAGAAAGAGCCACCTATTGCTCTCCTCCGTGCTGTGACATTGTGGTGGCTCACTTTTTCAGTCCCTACATCAACTCACATTGCTTTCATCTTCCCTTCACTTTGTGGCTTCAGCTGACTTATTTCTGCTTATTCATGGATCCTGCTCATTGTCATTTCTCTTTGTCCCTCTGCCTCTGGGACAGTCTGCCACTGAGTTCTTTTTTGCCTCAGATTGAAACTGTCCTAGAGAGCAGCTCCGATTGCTGTAGCCATCATCATGAGCACGCAGAGAGCAAGGCTGCCGTGTCAGTCACCCCCATATGAGCTGCTGGCCGACCATGGGCTGTTGTAGGTCAGTCTCGGAGCCCTGAGGCCATCAGCTGAGCTGTGAATGGGGTGGACAACCTGTCCTTAAGGACCCCTCAGAAA